GCTACACACAATCAGAGGCAGCTACACACTGTCAGAGGCAGCTACACACTGTCAGAGGCAGCGACACACTATCAGAGACAGCTACACACTATCAGAGACAGCTACACACTGTCAGAGGCAGCTACACACAATCAGAGACAGCTACACACTGTCAGAGGCAGCTACACACAATCAGAGGCAGCTACACACTGTCAGAGACAGCTACACACTATCAGAGGCAGCTACACACTGTCAGAGGCAGCTACACACTGTCAGAGGCAGCTACACACTGTCAGAGGTAGTTACACACTATCAGAGGCAGCTACACACTATGGGACGCATCTACACACTATCAGAGGTAGTTACACACTATCAGAGGTAGTTACACACAATCAGAGGCACTTACACATTAAGACCAGAGAGAGACAACAGAGACTAGAGAGAGACTAGAGAGAGACTAGAGAGAGACCAGAGAGGGACCAGAGTGGGACCAGAGTGGGACCAGAGAGGGACCAGAGAGGGACCAGAGAGGGACCAGAGAGGGACCAGAGAGGGACCAGAGTGGGACCAGAGTGGGACCAGAGTGGGACCAGAGTGGGACCAGAGTGGGACCAGAGAGGGACCAGAGAGGGACCAGAGAGGGACCAGAGAGGGACCAGAGAGGGACCAGAGAGGGACCAGAGAGGGACCAGAGAGGGACCAGAGAGGGACCAGAGAGGGACCAGAGAGGGACCAGAGAGGGACCAGAGAGGGACCAGAGAGGGACCAGAGAGGGACCCGAGAGAGAGAGAGACCAGACCTCAGAGTCCAGAGAAGTGAGTGTCCAGACCCTTCAAGGACCAGTGCACTGTTCGTCCTCGTTACAACGATATTGTTCAAAACCATAAACAAATACTACTACATTTTAAAAGTCTTAATAAATAATAAGTTTAAGTAAAACCACAAAACAATAACCAAGATAAAATACCAGAAACTGAACTTTCCGCTCTGTGGGTCGAGTAAAGCATCTCTTCATCTAGTTTCTGTCTCTCAAAACTGTATATATGTACTTTTGAGCGTTTATCACATCTTTAGATGAGATATTTCAGTGAAAAAGAGAGTCCCAGGCCTCTCTCAGCCAATCAGAGTCCCAGGCCTCTCTCAGCCTATCAGAGAGTCCCAGGCCTCTCTCAGCCTATCAGAGAGTCCCAGGCCTCTCTCAGCCTATCAGAGAGTCCCAGGCCTCTCTCTCAGCCAATCAGAGAGTCCCAGGCCTCTCTCAGCCAATCAGAGTCCCAGGCCTCTCTCTCAGCCAATCAGAGAGTCCCAGGCCTCTCTCTCAGCCAATCAGAGAGTCCCAGGCCTCTCTCTCAGCCTATCAGAGAGTCCCAGGCCTCTCTCAGCCTATCAGAGAGTCCCAGGCCTCTCTCTCAGCCTATCAGAGAGTCCCAGGCCTCTCTCTCAGCCAATCAGAGAGTCCCAGGCCTCTCTCTCAGCCAATCAGAGAGTCCCAGGCCTCTCTCTCAGCCAATCAGAGAGTCCCAGGCCTCTCTCTCAGCCAATCAGAGAGTCCCAGGCCTCACTCTCAGCCAATCAGAGAGTCCCAGGCCTCTCTCTCAGCCAATCAGAGAGTCCCAGGCCTCTCTCTCAGCCAATCAGAGAGTCCCAGGCCTCTCTCAGCCAATCAGAGAGTCCCAGGCCTCTCTCTCAGCCAATCAGAGAGTCCCAGGCCTCTCTCAGCCTATCAGAGAGTCCCAGGCCTCGCTCAGCCAATCAGCTCGCAGTATGTAAACGATAACATGTTTCTAATCAGATCAAAGCAGAATGTTGTGGTTTGGTTTGTTCACTAAACGTTACTGAAACAAGACAAGATTTAGGTACCCCAGCTTTAACGCCGGTTCGTGTGAGAGAACAGGCGTTTTGTCTTTTTTCTCAGTGAGTTAACTTTTGTGGAGTAATCTTTTTATTATCAGGAAGGACTGAACTTATGGGGACGAGAGAGCGAGAGGGAGAGAGACCTCACCATTGGTCTAACTATTCTCCTCCAGCAAATGTTATTGGTGATGGTCATTTCAAGGGGAGGAACTGTGACCTAATAATGAGAGAGCAGAAAGAGCGAGAGCGAGAGAGAGAAGAGAGATGAAAGACATACCAGAGTTACCAGAGAGAAAGACCAGAGAGAAGCCAGAGAGAGAGAGAGAAGAAAGAGGAGAGAGAGACCGGAGAGAGAGATCAGAGAGAGAGAGACCAGAGAGTGAGAGACCAGAGAGAAAAACCAGAGAGTGAGAGACCAGAGACACGAATGAAAGTAATTTTGTAAAGCTGGTCAAACTTGTTCATTTCTTTCTGTAATTATGAAGCTGAAAACGCAAATTCAGACTGAAATACAGAGTGCAAATGCCCCCTTCCAAGCCAGCCAATCACAACGCTCTGCCAGCCTCGAGCCTCAGCCAATCACACAGCCCGGCCCGCCTCCTGCCAACCCTCTGACTGCCAAGCGGGCATTAAAAAGGCAGCCACTCCCTGACAAACAACGCTTTCTGATGCTCTTAACACCCACCGCCTCCCCAGCACCTCCTCTGGCTCCTGCTCTGGCTCCTGCTCTGGCTCCCGCTCTGGCTCCCGCTCTGGCTCCCGCTCTAGGCTCCCACTCTGGCGCCCGCTCTAGCTCCCGCTCTGGCTCTGCTCTGGCTCCCGCTCTGGCTCCTGCTCTGGCTCCTGCTCTGGCTCCTGCTCTGGCTCCTGCTCTGGCTCCTGCTCTGGCTCCCGCTCTGGCTCCTGCTCTGGCTCCAGCTCTGGCTCCCGCTCTAGGCTCCCACTCAGGCGCCCGCTCTAGCTCCCGCTCTGGCTCGGCTCTGGCTCCCGCTCTGGCTCCTGCTCTGGCGCCCGCTCTGGCTCGGCTCTGGCTCGGCTCTGGCTCCCGCTCTGGCTCCTGCTCTGGCTCCTGCTCTGGCTCCTGCTCTGGCTCCTGCTCCGCCGACCCCGGGGGCAAGTGTCACTGCCGGGGTCAATGCGCCAAATAAATAAATAATTCTGAATGTATGAATTGTGTCTTTGGTCTCTTCAGATTGAAACAGATAAATACTAATTACATACAGAGACATACTGTACCAAGACCTTGTTTATTTGTGTTTTTATCATTTCCATTATGGCTTACAAATGTTTTAAATGTGATTTATTTAAAGATAATCATCAACATTAAAACAAATTTACACTTTTTACACGATGCAAAAAACGATATGTCCACACATATGATGGCGGAACATGTATGAATGACTCATGGAAAGAATAGTTTGATTCCAGGGACGGTCTCAATGGATTTGGTTTGTTTAGTTAGTCTGTTTTATATGTAGTAGATTATTTGTACACTTTTAAATTCATTTTTCATTTGGATTCTATTGTGTTCAGTATTTATTAATGAGAATATTCACTATATGTGTCTGAAGGGTTTTTTTCTATTTAGCCGTTATGTAGATTCTTTAGGTTTATCGATAAAACATAATAAAAGCCGAAGCCGCCGCTGTTTGACTCCAGTTTCTACTTTCATCTGATTGCGTTATTTTTTTTAAACATTCTCCACCTGTGGCTGAGGCTGCAGCTCAAACAGGAAACTCAGAGCGGCTCAGTGTCAGAAAAACTCTCTCCTCAGACGAGACCGGACTCAGAAAACCATTCTCTCTCCAGAACAAGACCTCGGTCAGAAGTAAGTGACAGCTACACTGCAAAAAACAGTGAGAATTAAGTGAAAAATGGCTTGAATTTGGCAAAATGTGTCTTAATTTGAGCATTTTATGACTGCGTTAAAACAAGATTATCTTGGTTTAAAAAGATACAAGAAATATCTCCCTTGGAATTGGAGAATCTAGTTTTAACACAGTCAGAATGTTTCAGATTCAGATAAAAACCACAAAATTCAAGCATTTATTACCTCTTTATTTTTTTTTAAATCAGTTTTTGCAGTGTAACGCGGCTGCAGTGTAATACTAAGCTTCTATAATGGACTGTTTTAGCTGTTATTGTTATTATTGTATTGATTTTTGTCATTCATTATCTTTATATGTTTTTCTACCCTTTTTAACATCCACTCGTTAAAGATCAACGCAATGTGATCGTTTTGATGTCGGAGCACTAATAACACAAATAAATTTTTCAATTCTAGACCTTTTTAGATCATTTATCGACTCAAAAGGTGGTCTACAAAATGGCGGAGGACATTTTTAAAGGGTCCAGGACGGAAAGAGTGAAGTTATCCGTTCTTTTTTACTGAAAGAATTGTGACTGAAGCACATTTGTAACTTACAGACTTCACTTTCTCAACGCTAAAACTTCCATCACTGCAAAAAATGATACAATATGAGGTCATAAATGCTGGAAATGAGTGGTTTTTATCTTAATCGGACACATTCTGTTAAAACTGTTAAAGTCATTTTGTCTTTTTTGCCAAATTTGAGGCATTTTTAACTTATTTCTCCTCACTTTTTGCAGTGATGTGTGTTTAGGTGAGAGAGAGGAGAGCAAGGCATTCTGGGAAGTTAGTTAAATTCCAGGCAAAGAATGTATTTATCACTTTTATTATTATTTTTTAGCAGTGCTATCTGTGTATCTGGCTCTTGTGTCGTGGTAAATGGTTATTATTCTGATTCAACTGTAAATACTCTTCTTGTCTTCAGAGCTACAGTCAAAACTCTACATTTTATAACTTTTAAAACATTTATATTCTCTCGTGTATTTATATATTTTAGCTCCGTCTTGTCGCAGGAATCTCTCACTTTACACGAGGAGCAGAAAGACAAAAGTAAAAGCCTTTTTAGATTAGACAAAATGTACAGGAGTTTGAAATAAAACCAAGGTTAGTTTTGAGTAGTAATTTAAAAAGTGAGACTAACATGGACATTGGACAAGTCACTGTTTCCAGTCAAAAAATATCATTTCATTTTTACATTTTTAACCAGAAATAAGTAGATTATGTGGAAGGTGGTATTCTTTCCTTTTTGAGCCAAACCTCACATAATAACAGTATTTTTTGGCACAGATTCTCCCCATTAGTGTTTCCTTTTCTTCTTCTGTGTCTCCTTCTCCTTCTTCTCCTTCTCCTTCTTCTGTGTATTCTTCTTCTCCTTCTCCTTCTCTTTCTTCTTCTCCTTCTTCTGTGTATTCTTCTCCTTCTTCTGTGTATTCTTCTTCTCCTTCTCCTTCTCCTTCTCTTTCTTCTTCTCCTTCTTCTGTGTATTCTTCTTCTCCTTCTCCTTCTCTTTCTTCTTCTCCTTCTTCTGTGTATTCTTCTTCTCCTTCTCCTTCTCTTTCTTCTTCTCCTTCTTCTGTGTATTCTTCTTCTTCTTCTGTGTATTCTTCTTCTTCTTCTGTGTATTCTTCTTCTTCTTCTGTGTATTCTTCTTCTTCTTCTGTGTATTCTTCTTCTTCTTCTCCTTCTTCTGTGTATTCTTCTTCTTCTTCTGTGTATTCTTCTCCTTCTTCTGTGTATTCTTCTTCTTCTTCTCCTTCTGTGTATTCTTCTTCTTCTTCGGTGTATTCTTCTTCTTCTTCTCCTTCTTCTGTGTATTCTTCTTCTTCTTCTCCTTCTTCTGTGTATTCTTCTTCTTCTTCTCCTTCTTCTGTGTATTCTTCTTCTTCTTCTGTGTATTCTTCTTCTTCTTCTCCTTCTTCTGTGTATTCTTCTTCTTCTCCTTCCTCTGTGTCTTCTTCTTTGTCTTCTTCTTCTTCACTGATATTGATTTAAAAACAGCTGATGTTTGATTCCATGAAGTCTTGTTCATGTGTTTTAGCGTCGGTTTAGTCTCTGTATCAAGTTAAAACCAGCCGAGCTCCTGCAAACCAGGTTTACTTGAATCGTCCTGTGTCTTTGATCCATGTGTGAGGCTAATCTGTGTCAGGACTTTACCTTTTTATTAGTGCAATAAGTAGTTTAGGCAAAAGCAGGTTTATTAGTGTGGCGCAGTTAACACACAAGGCTGTCACTTTAACCTGACTATTGTGTTCATATAGTGGACATTTTCGGACATTTTCGGACATTTTCAGACATTTTAGGAGGATTTTGTATGCAGGCCAGATGGGGGCCTTTCTGTGTGGAGTTTGCATGCTCTCCCCGCGTCTGTGTGGGTTTCCTCCAGGTGCTGCTGTGTCCCCTACCACTAAAAACATGTGCAATAGGTCCATAGGTAAATGAATGTGTGGAGTGAGAGAAAGGTGTGAAAGGTGCTATATCAATAAATATGACTCACTTCCTTCAGGTCGATTCAATTCAATACTTTTTATCATCGCGTTTCTTGTGTTTGAATTGTTTTTGGTGAATCCATAACTGCTGCGACGTCTCTCTCTAGTCTCTCTCTCTGGTCTCACTCTGGTCTCTCTCTGGTCTCTCTCTCTAGTCTCTCTCTGGTCTCTCTCTCTAGTCTCTCTCTGGTCTCTCTCTCTAGTCTCTCTCTGGTCTCTCTCTCTAGTCTCTCTCTGGTCTCTCTCTCTGGTCTCTCTCTGGTCTCTCTCTCTCTCTGGTCTCTCTCTCTCTCTCTCTCTCTCTCTGGTCTCTCTCTAGTCCCTCTAGTCTCTCTCTCTCTCTCTCTGGTCTCTCTCTGGTCTCTCCCTGGTCTCTCTCTGGTCCCTCTAGTCTCTCTCTCTCTCTCTCTCTCTCTGGTCTCTCTCGGTCTCTCTCTGGTCTCTCTCTGGTCTCTCTCTGGTCTCTCTCTGGTCTCTCTCTGGTCTCTCTCTAGTCCCTCTAGTCTCTCTCTCTCTCTCTCTGGTCTCTCCCTGGTCTCTCTCTGGTCCCTCTAGTCTCTCTCTCTCTCTCTCTCTCTGGTCTCTCTCTGGTCTCTCTCTGGTCTCTCTCTGGTCTCTCTCTGGTCTCTCTCTGGTCTCTCTCTGGTCTCTCTCTAGTCCCTCTAGTCTCTCTCTCTCTCTCTCTGGTCTCTCCCTGGTCTCTCTCTGGTCTCTCTCTGGTCTCTCTCTCTCTCTCTCTCTGGTCTCTCTCTGGTCTCTCTCTAGTCTCTCTCTCTCTCTCTCTCTGGTCTCTCTCTGGTCTCTCTCTGGTCTCTCTCTGGTCTCTCTCTGGTCTCTCTCTGGTCTCTCTCTGGTCTCTCTCTGGTCTCTCTCTGGTCTCTCTCTGGTCTCTCTCTGGTCTCTCTCTAGTCTCTCTCTAGTCTCTCTCTGGTCTCTCTCTGGTCTCTCTCTAGTCTCTCTCTGGTCTCTCTCTGGTCTCTCTCTGGTCTCTCTCTGGTCTCTCTCTGGTCTCTCTCTGGTCTCTCTCTGGTCTCTCTCTGGTCTCTCTCTGGTCTCTCACATTGAGTCTAAATTCAAGAACTATAGCTTTATTTTCTCATTTCCAAGAGAGACATTTCTTGTATCTTTTGAAAACAAGATCATTTTGCTTTGTCTCGTTGATAAATCTGGTTTTAAGGCTCAGTCAAAATGTGCACAAATTAAGACACATTTTACCAAATTTAAGCATTTTTTAAACTTATTTTTCATCTTTTTTGCCGTGAATGAACGTATAATTTCAGCTTGAATCAACAAAATCAATCCCTCAAACTGTGATAAAATAGTGTGTGTTTTAAAAGTCCCCAAATGGAGTCAGAAAAGTGTGTGTGTTCATCTGTGTGTGTGTCTGATCCTCTGATAACGCCATCGCCAACGTCCTCCGCGGCGGTGAAGCTGCGGCGTGCTCCTACAGGACTGAGGAAGGTGTGTTTGATTAAAGCCAGATCCGGGACCGGGCTTTTGTCCTGAGGTATGTGTGCGTCTTTGTGCGTCTTTGTGCGTCTTTGTGCTCCGATATTTGTCAAAAGTGCGTGAAGTGCGAGCGTCTTTGTCCCGCGGCGGCTGCGAACTCCTCACGCGGCGCATTGTGGGGACGTGAACCAACAGGACGCCGCTGGGTCCAACTTAGAGAGACATGTTTTAGAGTTCTTTTGAGGAATCTGGTTTTAAGGCTCAGTCAGAATGTGCTCAGATTAAGATACATTTTGCCACATTTGAGGCATTTTTTTACTTATCTTTTATCACTTTAAACAAAAATCCGACTTATAATAAATGAGAATAATTCATTGGTTGGACTCTCAAATATGCTTCACATAAACTACTACTGTAGCCACAGCTGCCCTGGGGCACACTGACAGAAGCGAGCCAACCAGTCTGTGCCATCGGCCCCTCCCACCACCACCAACCATTCACACACACACCAGACTCATTCTAATGTGGGGGAAGTGTCTGGCCTAAGGACACAACAGCAGTTTGGCACTTTACAGCCGCAGCCGCCCCACTGTGGCACCTGGTGTTTCCAGAGGTCTCCCATCATGTTACTGACCAGGCCCTGCCCTTCTTAGCCTCTGCGGTCTCACAGGATGTGGCTTTCATCTGCAAGTGGAATTTGCAGAATTGGTGATTGCATAATAAAGAAGACATTATTAACATAAAGTCTTCTTCCTGAGTATTTTTAGCATTTTCACATCAATAGATTCCAGTTAAATAAAACCAATACAATAAATATTAAATCTCTAGATGCTTCTGTGTTCGCGACAGTAGCTCCTCTGTAGCTCTCTATAGCTCTCTGTAGCTCTTGTAGCTCCTGTAGCTCTCTTTATCTCTCTGTAGCTCTCTTTAGCTCTCTGTAGCTCCTGTAGCTCTCTGTAGTTCTCTGTAGCTCCTGTAGCTCTCTGTAGCTCTTGTAGCTCCTGTAGCTCTCTTTAGCTCTCTGTAGTTCTCTGTAGCTCCTCTGTAGCTCTCTGTAGTTCTCTGTAGCTCCTGTAGCTCTCTATAGCTCTCTGTAGCTCATCTGTAGTTCTTTGTAGCTCTCTGTAGTTCTCTGTAGCTCCTGTAGCTCTCTGTAGCTCTCTGTAGTTCTCTGTAGTTCTCTGTAGCTCTCTGTAGCTCTCTGTAGCTCTCTGTTGGCTGCACTTGCATTAATCTCCTGAAAACATTCTCTTCAAACTTGTTGAATCCAATTTGTTTATTTCGACCTCTGTCCAACAGTCGCTCCTTTGTGTGTGCGCTGTTTCCTGCTGGATTTACATGTGTGTGTGTCTGTGTGTATCTGTGTGTGTGTCTGTGTCTGTGTGTGTGTGTCTGTGTGTTTGTGTGTGTCTGTGTCTGTGTGTGTCTGTGTGTCTGTGTGAGTGTCTGTGTGTGTGTGTCTGTGTGTGTATGTCTGTGTGTGTGTGTGTGTCTGTGTGTATCTGTGTGTGTGTGTATCTGTGTGTGTGCGTGCAATTAATTGATCGTTTTTCTTATTATATTTTTGTGTGTTTATTTTTCAACAAACTTGGTTGCGCAGCTTCCAACTTTGCCACTGATGTCTTGTACATGTGTGTGTCCTATGTGTGTGTCTGTGTGTGTAAGTGTGTGTGTTGTGGTCACTTGCAAATGACTCCACACCGTTGTGTTGTGAGGATATTTGCATTGTGTTGACACAAAGGAATGATTTATTACTGCTACACTGCAAAAAGTGACGGAAAAGAATTCTTAATCACACTCAGCCTTAATCCAGATTCTCTGATGATGTTGTTTTAAAAAGATACAGAATGAGAAAACAGTTTTAAGTCAGAATGTGTCGGATTAAGATAAAAACACTGGATTCCATTTTTACAGTGTTGTTCCAGTCAGTGGTTGTTGTGTGGTGCATTGTTGGGTTTTTAGTGTTCATTCTGAGAAAAACAAGTCTCTATCTCGTCATCTTAAAGTGATAAAGTAAAAGCGTGCGGTGCAGGAGCCGAGAACCAAAAGATCAAACTGTGATGAAGAAAGAAGGTTCAGAAATACACTTTTTTATCGACACAATCCTCCGCTTTTCCTTCTTCTTCTTTCACGTTTACGTTTTTATTTTGTTTTTATTGATTCAAAACGACGCAGATTATTTACAAAACAGAAACCAGAACATTTCAGTAAAATTACTAATGTTGTTTTTATTATGCTTAAGTTAGAGATGTTAAACCTGCTTCTTTATTATTATTATTATTTTAAGCTGAAATGAATATTAATTTATGCTTTATTGGTGCCCGAGACCATTCCATAATTATACATGGAATTCTGAAAAAATGGTTGTGTCCTTAGGCAAGACACCGATGGCACAGACTGGTGGCCTCGCCTCTGTCAGTGTGCCCCGGGGCAGCTGTGGCTACAGTAGTAGTTTGTTAAGAATACTGATGTGAAAGCACTGTATGAAATGGATGTATTATTATGAACATTTCTGATTTGATGAAGAGATCAGAGAGAGAGAGAGAGACCAGAGAGAGAGAGAGAGACCAGAGAGAGAGAGAGAGAGACCAGAGAGAGAGAGAGACCAGAGAGAGAGAGAAAGACCAGAGAGAGAGAGACCAGAGAGAGAGAGAGAGACCAGAGAGAGAGAGACCAGAGAGAGAGAGAGACCAGAGAGAGAGAGAGAGAGAGACCCGATCCTTTCTGATTATTATGGCTGGTCAGTCTCTGGTCTTGACCCCTCCTCCCTGCTTTGCTGGGCTCTCTGTTCTGTCTGCTTCGACTCCCACTCCCTCTGAGGCCACCTTACCAGGGTGACACGCACAAACTGCTATTCTGAGTTTCTGGGCACCCTTCTTCGTGCCTCCTCTGACTAACCCCTGTGAATGCTTCTTGCTATAGCGGGCGCCCTCTTGCCAACGTAAAATCTGACCCTTACTGCTTCTGGCCTGCACCCCTCTGCTGCTGCTTGCTCTGTCTCTGCACTTCCCTCTTGCCTCCTGGCCTTGTCGCCTTTGGTCTGTGGCTTGCTCCCTCGTATTCTGCCCCCCTGGTCCTCCTCCTTGCTCTTCCTCCTACCTCTGGCTTTCTGCCTCTTGTTCCCTCTCTCTGTGCTCCTGCTTTCTCCTTTTGCCTGCCTATCCCCTGCCCTGTTCTGTCTATTTCCTTGCCATTGTTTGCTAGTTGCTACCCCTATCTCTGCTACCCCTGGCTGCTTCTGCTCTTAGCTCACCTGTCGGTTACACTCTGACTAGACTGTTGACCCTCCTTTGTCGACCTTCCCCCTGCCGTCCTCTTCTCTGGTTTGTCCTCCTCCCCTTCTCCTGGTCCCTGCTTGTCTCTGTCCGCTCTTGCTGCTTCTCTTCTCCTGGGCTTCCCCTGGTGCTTCCCTGCTGCTTGCGGGGGTCTTGGCTGCCTGCTTACCCCGCCCTGCCACCTCCGCCGGCTTCTTTGCATCGTCTCTGGTCCCCTGTCCTTCACTGCCTCTCTCTCTGCCTGTCTTGGCTCTTTTTGCCCCTCCCTGCTGCCTGCCTCCTGCTCTTTTTTGCTGGGCCTCGGCCATTGGTGGTGCGGGGGCTCCCCTCTCGCTGTCTTCTGTTATTCCCTCCCCTTCTCTCCCTCTATCCTCTTTGGTGCTGCTGGACCTTTCTTGTTTGTTGTGGTTGCCTCTGTGCTGTCTGTCACCCCTGCTATCTTGCTTGTCTGCCCTGCCCCTTGCTGCTCTTCTTCCTGTCTGCTCACCCCCTCTGTTTCTCCTCTCCCTGCCCCTTGTGCTCCTGCACCTCTGCCTCCCTCTCTGGCCCTGCCACTCTGTCGTCTGCCTCCTGTGCGTGCTTCTCTCCTGCCCCTGTCCTCCTGCTCTCCTGCTTCCTTTCCCTGCTGCCCCCCCTGGCCCCCTGATACTCCCTTGTCCCTTCGTCTGCTGCCTTTGGCCTGTGTCCCCTCTGTTGCTTACTAGCTGCCCTGCTTGCCTCCTGCCCCCTCTCTCATCTGCTCCTCTGCTTGCTGCTTCTTCTGTGCTGCATCTGGTTAGGCTCCCTGCCCCCCCCTCTGTGCACCCATTGGGTCCGCCCTCCTGCTGCTGCCTCCCCCCTCTCCCCTGTTCCTTCCCTGCCCTGCTTCTTGTTGCTCGCCCCTGCCTGCCTATCTGATCTCGACCGCGCTGTTTAGTCTGCATGCTACATCGCTCTCTGTCCACTTCCCTTCCCATCCCTCTGCTGCTGCTGGGGGCCGATAGTGAAGATCATGGGATATGGACAACCCTGAAAGACGGCTGGCTGGCTCTTGCCTCTTGATGCTGCGCACCTGGGCCATCCCTATGATATGGGACTTGCCGAATGAAACCAGTGATAAGGTGGCGTCAAATGAGGAGAGCAAAAGCTCCTGCCTACCCTAACTCCTGACCCTCCCGTTCCACCTCTCTCTTCCACATGGCTGTGCCTCTCCGTCTTCCTTATTTTTACTGCTTGTGTGTTGCATCTTGCCTCCTTTCTGACTCTACCTTGGTCCTGGTGTTCTTTGCCTCCTGGCCTCTCCCTCCTGCCTCCTGCCTCTTTGCTCCCTCTACTTGATCTGGCTCTTGGCCCCCCTGACTCTTGATTGATTCTGCCTGCCTCTCCACTGCATGGGCTCTGCTGTTAGCTCTGTCTCTGTGCTCTAAGTCTCTAACCCTGTCATCTCCCAAATGTCCCCTCTCTCTCCTCCCCTCCCCTTTGGCCCCTCTGCTCCTGTGCTCTATGCCTCCCCTCACCCCCTCCTCTCCTGAACGTTTGGTGCTCCCTGTGTTCTGGCATCCTCTACTTCTCACTCTCTCTGTTCTTCTCTGGCTCTCTTCCTACTTTCTCGCTTCTGGCTGGGTTCCCCTATCCCTTAGCCCCTTCTTTCTCGCAATAAGGTCGGCTCGCCGGGCCCCTCCCATATCTGCCCTATCCTTGTCCCCTTCCCTCCCCCTGTGTCTTCGTTCCTCTCTCGCCTGGATGCTAGGCTTCTTTCTGCACTGGTCCTCTGCCCCTGTCTGCCATGTCCTGGCCTTACCATTCCCTGCCTTCCCATGCTAAGGCCCTGCTTTATCCACGATGTCCTGCCCTCTTCTCGCTTGGACATGCTTGCCCCCCCTCTCCTCTCGGCCCCCCCTGCTGCTGCGCCTGCTGCTTCTCCTTTTCTTCTGCCTGCTCCTCGATCTGTTTTTGCCTCCCTGCCCCTGTGCCCTGCCGCCTCATCTGTGCCCCTGCTCTCTCTCCTTTTCCTTGCGTCTTCCTCTGCCTGGCTTGCATTGGGTTGCCTTTGCCTAACCCTCTGCACTGCTTCTTGTTTTCTCCTGCTTGCCTCTGTGTGCCCCTCTGCCCCCTCCCCCCCCCTGTGCTGTCCTGTGTTGTGGCTTTGTTGGTCCTCTTCGCCTGCTCCTGCCCTCTGCCTTTGCTGCCTGTGCTGGTCTCCCCCTTTGCTCGCTTGGGCTCTCTGTTTCTCTTATGGCCCCTTCTCGTTTCTTCTGCTCCCTTCTGTTTTCCCTCTCCTCCCCTCTGGCCCTTGCCCCCCAGGCACCTTGCTTCCTCCCTCTCCCTGTACGTATGTGTGGGGGTCCCTCCTCCCGTCGGGGTCCCTGTCTCTTCCTTGCCATGATATTCTTACGCCTTTCTTCTTCCTATCTGCCTCTTCTCTTTTCCTGCTCTTCGGGCACCCTGTCTCCTGGTGCCTCTCTGTTGCTCCTTCCTCCCTCGGCTGCTCTACCTCCTCTTGTCTGCTAGGGTCTCCCTGGGGGGGCTGACTCGCATCGTAGGAAAACCTCAACAGACCACCTTGCCATCTTGCTGCTCCCTCTCTCCTAGCGCTGGCTACCCCTCCTCCCGGGGGCCCACCCGTGCTGCTCAACTTGCTGACCGTCTGCTCTACCGGGCGGGCCGCGCGAAGCATGCGGGGAGGACGAGCCAGGAGAAGAACTGCGAGGACTGTGCGCATGATCAAGGAATGCGGTCAGTAGGCTCTGTGGCTTGGTCCTGCCTTGGAACAACTCATGCTGGCAATCAATCCCTCGTTCTTATCTGGACCTCTTTTCCCCTATCTCTTGATTCCTTTGCTGCTCTCTCCCTGCGCTTGCTGCGCTGTGTCTGTCCCCTTACACCGGGAAATCTAGCTGACTGAGTTGCGGGTCTCCGGCCCCAATTTAGCCAGAGCGGAGGCGAAATGGTGCCCAGCTGAAAGGACGGCGACAAGACGCACAGATGGAGAGGGAAGGAAGGAGCCTAGGATAGACGGTGCACCTCCATGGACCGGGCGGAGCTAAGGAAAGCGCCCCTGGGGGGCCACAGGTCCTCTCGTCCGCCATTCTGGAGCGCGAATGTTCTGGTGGAGCGAGTGGTGCTCCGCTGCCCACTTGGGCCTGAATGTTAGGTCGGATGACACAAGAACAGCAGTCAGAGATGTTCATCCTCCTGCCCCTCCTGAGCTCGCTCGCACCCCTGGCTCTCTGCCCTTCTGCCCTCGCTGTGTTCTCTCTCCCTTGCTTCCTCATGCTGGGTGCTGCCCCCATCCCGCTCGTGTGCCCTTCCCCTCCTCTCCTGCCCCCTACCCTCCCTGCTTACCCTCCCTTCCCCCTGCAGTCTGGCCTCTACTTGTCATTGGGGCCAGAGTCCGCCGTCTGCTCCTGGCTGCCTCCTGCCTTCCTAGCCTTTTCCTCTGTTCCTGGCCCCTGAACTTGCTTTGTGTGCCCCCCCCTCTTGAGCCGCCCCTTCTTCGGTGCTTCCGCTTCCTGGTGACCCTTCCTGATCCCCTTCTGCGGCTTGAGGGGCCCTCCTCCTGTCCTCGTCCTTCCTTTGCTGGCTTTGGGCCTTCCCTGGGGCCATCCGACTCTGCTATGTCCTGCTTCTAGTCTGTCCTCCTCCTGGCTTTCTGCTGCTCCCCCTTTCCTTTGCTCGGTGCCCCCCTATCCTGCTGGTGTCTTCTTGGGCCCTCTTCCTTCTGGCTTAGCTGCCTCCCCCTGCTGGCCCCCCTCTGCAGGCTCCCCCCTACCTTCCTGGTTATCTTGCTCTGGGGGGGCCTTGGCTCCACGTGCCGGGGATGCCAAGAGTACAAAGCGAAGAATGAAGGCTGCCCATCCTCTGCTTGCAGTTCAGATTGCAATGCTTTGCCCCAACCACATCGTTACAGCCCCACGCTGTGTCTCCCCTGTTTCTGCCTGCTTCTGTCTGACCCTGCTGCTCTCCTTGCTAGTGGTCCCCACTACCCCTTAGGCTCTCTCTGGTCCTGCGGTTACCCTGGCTGCCTCCTTGCCTCTCCTTCCCTCCTCCTCTTCGCTCTTGTGCCTCTGGCTATGCACTGCCTATCTGCTCTTCGGTAGCTCCTTTCCTATCCTGGGCCCCTTGTTTCCTAGGATTCTGTTCTCCTCTGCTCTTCTGCTTGGCTCTCCTTCCTCTTGCTCCCTTGTCTACTGATTCAGGCTGTTTCCTCTCTTCTCCTCTCTGGCCCTTGCCTTCTGCCTCGCTGGCCTTGGGCTTGGGCCTCCCCTCTTACTTCTGCTTCATCCTTATACTTGCTCTCCATGGCCCTCTATCCTGGCCTCCCTCCCCCCTCCTTTCCCCCTCCCCCTGCTCTCTTTCTGCTGCTGCTGACCCCCTGTGCTTCCCTCCTGTTCCCCTCCCTGCTTTCCTGGCTGCTGTGCCTGCTCCCTTCTGCTTTCTGCCCTTTTGCTGCTTGTTCTTTCCCCTCCTACTGCCCCTGTGATGCCTTCCCTGCCTCCCCTCTCCATCCTTCTCTCTTCCCTGCTTGCCCTCCTGTCCTTGCCCTTGCGTTTGCCCTGCCTCTCCCCCCCTGTGCTTCTGCTCTCTGCCCCCCCTGGTCTTTCCTTGGCTGGCGCCTGCCCCTCTACCCCCCTCTTCCCCTTTACTAGGTTTTCTTCTCTGTCTCGTGCTGTGTGTCTGCCTTCTTCTTTCTGCTCATGGATGGCTGAGTGGCGTAGGAAAATGCGAGAGGATCGGTAAGCAGTGGAAAGGATAAGAAGCCTCATAAGGGGATGAGGTATACTTGCGCCTAGCTCAGCTTTCTCTCCTCCTCCCTTCCCCATATTGCTGTTGTGCTTCCAACCTCTCTCCCCTTCTCTTCTTTGGGTATAAGTGGCCTGCCCTCCCTCCGACCCACTACTGATCCGCCGATTAGCATAAACTCCTCCTCCCTGTTCTCGCTCATCCTCATCTCATGCTGTGACCCTCCATGGCCTCTCCACATCTCCCCCTTCCCTCCTGGCCCTCCTGCTGCTCTCCCTGGGCTCCTCTCTCTTCATTTTCGCATGCTGGCTCTTTTCTCTTTCCCCGCTTCTACGCCTTCCCCTACATTTCTCTGCTTCCTCTCCTATAATTTCTGCTCCTCCCCCCTTATTCTTCCACCCCTGAACCTCTGCCTTGACCTGTCCCCTTCATCTGCCTCTAGTCTACGTGCTGTCTTGCTTCTTTGCACTCTTCACACAATGTTGCCCCACTCTGCCGTGTGCCAGCTCCTGTCTGGACTATGGTCGATGCCCCTGACCTCTGCTCTCCTGTGTGCTGCCCTTTGGGCTCTCTGTCTGTTTCGTTCTTGCTGCTTCCTTCTTGTCTTGCCTCCCCCTGTACATTCCCTCTTCAGGCTCTCCCTTCCTCTCTCCCCTTTTCTCCTGGGGACCCCTGTACCCTCTCCTTCTCTTCCTCCTGAATACTCTCCTCTCTCTGTGGGTGGTTGTAGACTACCCTCTTGTTTGCCTCTCCTCTGCTGCACTCGGGTGGGCTCTTCCTCGGGGGGGGGTTGGCCTTGGCTGGCTTGCCCGGTCCTCCTCCTCCTTTCTATCTGTATCCCTCCTCCCTCTCTTTGGCCTGTCATTCTGGGGCTGTACTTTCACTTGGTCTGGGTCTGTCCTCACCCCCCTTGCCCCTCCTCCCTGTGCCATCCTCCCCCCCCTGAATGCTGTACCTGCTGCCCCTCAGCACCCACTGCTCTGTCCCCTATCCTGCCTGGCTCCGCCCCCCCGCAGCAGCGACCTGACATGTCTCCTGGGACTACCCGGAGAAGTGGAAACAACGCAAGATCAGGTACATTCAATGCGCTTCTGCTGCCTTTGTGCACGACTTACTCCTGCTGATGGCTGCGTCCTAGCTGGCCCTGCTAGTCGCCTCTCTCCCTCTGAATCTGGTTGCCCCTATCTTCACTCACTTTCTACCCTCTTTCTGGCCTTGCGCACTACCGTGCCCAGTCTCCTAACCTTCCCTTCCCATTCCCCTTTTGTCAGTGGCCTGCCATCTTTCCTGCCTGGTGTGACCCTGGCTGCCACCCCTGTGCCAACTGGGCATACTCCAGACGCGCTTTCCTTGAGGCACGGGCTCCGCCCTTTAGTGATCTTAACAACAAATGAGATGCCAACGGAAAACGCATTGGATTAGGGTGCCGGAAAAGCCATCATGGGAGAATGCGGAGGTACCTACAAACAGACGTGTAGCCGGTTCTGTCCCGTGCTCTCTCTTCTTGTCCACCCTGCTGTCCTCTTCTCATTTTGTCCCCCATTCTCCCCCCAGTAGGTTTCCTGGCGTATTCGACGCTAGCCCCTCTCTCCCTGCTCTGCTGCTGCTGTGCCCCCCTCTCTCCCCTGCTATCCCCTCCACTGCGCTGCATGGCTTCCCTGCTTGCTCTGCTTACCACTGCTACTGCAGAACGTGACCAAAGGGCAAAACCGAATGCGAGACCACCAAGGGTGAAAAAGAACCCAATAAGGACAATCCTGAGGGTCATTGGCGTAAATACGGCCGCCCTGCTCAATCTCATGCGTGACTCCCTCATACACCATCATTCGTCGGGCACAGACCCGCGATAAACAAGTGAACGGGTGGAAGAGAAACCAAGAGCTCAAATAACAGGCCAAAGCAGCAGGGAGGAGCAGTGCTATCCCACACACCCCCGTGATCCCTCCACTCGCTTGGTCCTATTGCCTCTTCTAGCCTGGCTCTTCCCCTGCTTACACCCTCGTCTCCTTCTGTGCCCTCCTCGGCCTCGTCATGGCTAGTGTTGGTCTCTATCACTGCGGTAGTCGAACACTTGACATGGGACGGGATGTAAACGGCAGAGAGTAAGCAACTCAACAAGCAAGGAGGAAATCAACAATTTGGGCTCCTGGCCAATGGTGACTGCATCTCGCCCCCTCGTGCCGTGTATGGCGGCCCCTCTATACACGTTCCCCTGACCTGGCGTATCCTGCTTCCCCGTCTCCCTTCTTTCCCTCCTCTTCCTCATCCTCTGACCTGCTGCTTCCCCGTGCCCTGATCCTGCTGTTGGCTTCCTTGACGGCCTCGGGCTCTTAGCGCCTCTTTCCTACTGCCTGGGTTATGGGTCTGGCTTGCCCTATGCTCCTGCACTGCCTCCTCTGTCCCTCCCTGCTCCTCCCCCCCCCTGCTTGCCCTTACTGGCCCCATTGGTGTCTCGGATGCTGCCTTGACCCTCCCACACTCCCGCTAGTCCCTCCTTTCTCCACGGAGGAGGAACGAGTGTGTCTCCCCCTACCTCCTCCCTTACCTGTCGCCCCCTCTTTCTGCTGCTCCTTGCTCGCCTTATGTACCGGCCCTCCTAACCGTCACTGTATCTGCCTGTTTCTCAGTGGCTCTGCTTCCTCCCCTGCTCTCTGAAGCCTTCTGGGGGTCTCCATGTATGCTCTGGGGACTCTATGGCCTCTCGGGGCTCCCTCTTGTTCTTCGGTGCTTGCCTGGTCGCCCCTTGCTCGTCGCGCTGTCCTTAGCCTACTTTTTCTCCTGTCTTTTTGTGCGTGGGTCCTCTCCTGGCTTTCGGCTCGGGACTGCCCTGCTCGGCTTTGCCCTCTGCTGGTCGGTCTCTTCCCAGCTGTTGCTGCCCCTGCTGCCCATCCTGTGGGAGCGTGCCCTGCTCACTGGCCTCGGGGTCCTCTGGTGTTTGCTACTACTATCTCCCTGCGTACTCTTTCGGTCTCTCCCATCAATCTTGGGCATGCTACTTGAATCGTACTCATCCCCCGTCAACAGAAACCGCTACTCTCTACCCTACGCTACCTACTTGTATTCTCCTCCTCTCCCTCCTCTCTCTCTGCCCTGCCCCTCACCTTTGCTACCCCTCACCCCACTCCTTGATGCATCCTGCCTTATTTGCCTCCTCTCTTCCTTTCTCTGCTTCTCTCCCTGCCCCTGTCCCCCTGCTCTTGCCCCTGCTTTCCTCCCCCCCCTTCTTTTTGTACTTGTTCTTGGGCCTTCGCCTTCTGCCCTGGCCCTCTCCTTACTCCTTGCTTCTCCTGCTACTCCCCGCTCTGTGACTCGATTGTTTTCCTGCTCTTGCCACTAGACTTTGTGAGAACGGAGAAGCCTGGCCATTGCGACATATGGTCGGCACGCGCCCTACCGGCTGCCCTCCCTCTCCTGTCCTGCTGGGGTCCTGCGACGTGTCAAGTTCACTTGGTGTAGATGTGACTTGCTGGCTGTTCGATGGCTTGTAGTCCCCCCCTGGCTCCTGACTCCTCGCTATTCCCTTCCCTCCATGCCTGGTCCTGACCCCTCTTGTCTCCTTGCCTCCTGCTGCTTGCCTGTCTGCCTCCTCCCCCTCCTCTGCCTCGCCCTGCCTCCTCCTGTTTGGTGTCCACATTGCTCCTCGAAATGCCTGCCATCTGGCTGCCTGTCATCGGCTGCCCTGCATGCCCACAGCGTGCTTGCCCTCCCCCCTCCCGAATGCTGCCCTGTTGTGCTTGCTCCTTTGCTACCTTGCTGCCCTCCTCCCTGGCTTGCCTCTGGCTGTGCCTTCCTGTCTGTGCCCTGTGCCCTGCTCCCCTGCTGACCCCTGCCTGCTCTGCTTTCCTGCTGCCCTTCCTCGACTTCCTTCTGACCCCCCTCCTTCCCCACCCCCTAATCCCCCTCCTCGTGCCACCCCCCCCTCTCTCTGCCCCTGCCCCTTCTGCCTCCTGTGCTGCCTCCCTCCCCCTCTGCCTGCTTGCTATCTGCTGCCCCTGGGCTGTCTTTCGGGCTCTATGCCCTCCCCCTGTGGCTCTGCCCCCTCCCCCTCTCCTGCTGTCCTTGTCCCCCCACCATTCCTGGCCTCTTCTCCTTTTTCGCTCCTGCTCTCCTCTCTCCTTCTCCCCCCATGACCCCTCCTCTCCTCTTCTGTCTGTGCGCCCTTATTCTTGGCTCCCTGCCTTTGCCTTTCCCCCCTGCCTGCCTCCTCCTGCCCTCTCCTCACTCTGGTGTCCCACTCCCCTCCGCCTCTCTCCCTCGCTGCCTGCGCCTGTTCCATTCTGGCCTGCTCTGATGGTTCCTCCTAGCTGCCTTCTCCTTACTCTGATTCCTCCCCCTGCCTTTCCTCTGCCTGGTCCTCTTGCCCTTGCCTCTGCGCTTCTATCTGCTCCTGTGCTGCTCTCTGGCTTTCTATCTCTCCGACAAGCAGGACACTCTGCACAAAGCGCGTTCATGCACCACATATCGTAATGTCACACGATCCTCACCCTGCCTGCCTCGCGTCACGCCCCCCTCGCTGCCTCATGCTTCTGCTTCCTCTCTGCTCTCCCATGATCTGGGGCTGCATCACTCCTCTATCCTGCACCTGGTCCTCCCCTTTTTTGCTCTCCTGCTCTTTGCCACTACACCTCGTGCTATCCTGCTGCACTCGTCCTTGCCTCCCTGCTCCTCTTCTGCTGCCTTTCTGCCCTGCCCCTCTGTCCCCCCCTCATCTCTGCTCCTGTCTGGTATGCTGTCTGCTGCTCCCTCCTTTTCCCCCTCCAGCCCCCTGTTTGCCCCTGTGCCCTTTGTACTCCTCTACCTGCTGGTGGCTTCTGCTCTCTCCTCACTTGCTACTCCTTGGCTGTCCTCACCCCCCTGTGCCCTGCTCTGGACTCTGTCTGTGCCTTCCCTCCTCCTCCTCTGGCCCCCCCTGGCCCTCCCCCTGCTCCCCCACCCCTCCTGCGCTCTGCTGACCCCCTCTACCCCCTCCCCTCTGCTTTGCCCTGCCACTTCCCCTGCCTCTGCTCCCTGTCGCTTTGTGCTGTCTCCTTCTGGCTTGGTTGCCCTCTTTATCTGCTCTGTGCTTCTCTTGCTGCCTCCCCCTCCCTGCTCTCCCTCTCCTCCCCCTTTTTCTGCCCCCTGCCTATCTGCCTCCCTGCCTGCTACCCTCCTGCTCGCTGCTCCTGCTTGCTACCTCCCCCTGCCCTGCTTGCCTGGTCTGCCCTATCTTTGCCCCCCTCTCCCTCCTCCCTCCTCTGCTGTTCACCCCTCCCTGCCTTGCCCTCCTGCTTTGGCCTGCTGTGCTCCTCGCTGCCCCTTCTGCTTCTAGGCACTCCCCCCCCCTGCCTCCCCTACTCCTTGCCCCCCCTCATTGCTCCTGTCTGTCCCTGCCTACGCCCCTGCCCTCCGCCCTCTACTCCCTCCTTGTGGCCTCTGTGGCCCCCCTTGCTTGTGGGGTCTGCCATCGTAGACGTACGCAACAAAACTCTGATGATCGCACATTCAACCCTACTCTCCCTGCCTTGCTGCTCGATGCTAGGTCCCTGTGTCTTACCCGTCCCACTGTGGTACCCTGTGGCTCTTGGCCCTTTTGCCAGGCTCCTCTCCCACTGTTTCCCTGCTTGCTGGCCTTTCCCTCTTGTCTGCCCTGCTATCCCCCTGTTGGCCTTGCCCTCCTGCTGCTCTTCCCTCTCCTGCCTCCTCTGGTCTCTCTGTCCCTGCCTTCGCCCCCTCCCCTTAGAGCTGCTGTCGCCTCCTCCTCCCTGTCTGCCTCCTGCCTGGACTGCCTGCATGCTTGTGCCCAGCCCTGCCCTCTGCTGACCCCTCCCTTGCCCTTCCCTGTCCTGTTCCTTGTGTTTTCTTGCTCCCCCCTTTGCCCCTTCTTCTGGCCTCCACTTGCCTTCCCCTGTGCTGTGCCCTTGTGTCTTTGGTGTCTTCTAATCACTGCAAATATTGCTCCCTGCTTCCCTCTGCAATCTCCTTCTGCTGCTCGACTGTCTTTCCCTACCTCTCGCCTGCCTGCCTGCTCTTGGTTTGCTCCTTGGAACTGGCCCCTCTGCATGACCTGGGCATGACCTTGGCCTCATGAAATATCTCGCAATGCACTGCAGTGTCACGGACACTGCTCACCCCCACCCCCCTCGCGCCCCTCACTGAACTCCCTCCCTGCCTTCCCCTGCTTGTGCCTGTCCCCTTCTGTGGCTAGCCCCTGGTCTTCTCCTGCCCTCCTCCCTGGCCGTGGCTAGCCTTCTGCTTTGCCTAGCCCCATCCTCTCCCTTCTCCCTGTCCTGTCCTACCTCTCATCAAATGCCTTCTCTGCCACCTGCCTGCTGTCCCCATGGCCTCATCGCTGTTCTGCCCTGCCTGCCCTGAATTGTGTAGGCAATTGTATGCACTGAGGGCAGTCTTGCGAGGAAGATAAGAGGCCCTTGCTTGAGCCATTCGCCCCTATTCCTCCCTGCTCTGTGGCCCCCTTCTGGGCTTCCCTCCTCTTCGCCTTTTCCTTCCCCTTTGCCTCTGGCCCCTGAGCTGCCTCTGACCCTGCTCCTACTCCTCCCTTCCTTCCTGCCCCCCTGTGCCCTCTGCTTTTGTCCTGCCTATGCCCTGCCCACCTGGTCTCGTGTGCTGATGCCCTCCCTGTGTGCTGCCTTGGTCTTATCTTCCACTTGCCAGGCCTCCTACTGCCTGCTGCTCCCCCAGCCTGCACCCAGTCTTTGGCCTGGGACACTGCCCCCCACTCCCTACCCCCTGCTCTACTCTGCCCCTTAGGCCTCCTCTTCCTGCCTGTGCTGTCCCTTTACTGTGTCCTTCTTTCCCCCTCCTCCCTCCCTTCCCCTGCTTGTCTGGTCCCCCTTGTGTGCTGCCTGCCTTGTCTCTGCCCCTCGCCTGCTGCCTTTAACCTCCTGTGCCTGTTGCTGCCCTGCCCTGCTCCCCTGTTTTTGCCTCTCCTGACTTGCTGCTGCCTGCTGCTGCTGCCTGGCTGCCACCCCTCCCCCTGGGTGTGCAGCTACTGCTCCCCTGCCCTCCCTTCTTCCCCTTTGGCTTCTGCTCTCGGCTGCATTCTGTGCCTGCTGTCTGCCTGGCTCCTCTGCCCTGCCCCCTCCCCTGACTCTGCCTCCTGCTCCTTGTGGGCCCTGCCTGGTTGTGCCCACTCCTGGTTTGCATATGCACTTGTGCGTTGCCATGAGCTGCTCTCCTTTTGCCTGGCACCTGTGCCTGCCCCATGTGCTGATAACCACCACACGACCTATGACCTCGGTGCCACCACTGGGGTGTCCCTACTCTCCTGACCCCTGGCTCCCTGCTGACTGTCTCGCTCACCTGCCCCCTGCTGGTCGGTGTCCTGCCCCTGCTTGCCCCCTGCCCCCCCCTCCTGCCTGCCTGCCCTTCGGTCCTGACGTTGCCGTCTGGCCACCCTTTGTTGCCTCCTCCTGCTGTTACCCCCCCTGTGGTCTGCCCTGGGGTTTTGCCCCCCTGCTACCCTATGCACTGCTCTTCCCCTCCCTAGTGCTTGCCCTGCCTGGCCTGCTCCCCCCTGTTGCTCCTCCCCTCGCCTCTCTAGTTCTGCTTCCCCTGCTAACACAAGGGCCTGCTCGGCTTAGCGCTCTCCCTCTGCCCCTCTAGTGCTTGTTTAGCTCCTCATTTGCCTCTCTGGCCTCTCCCTCTCTGACTGCCTCCGCCTGTCCCCTGGTCCTGGCCTCGTGCCCCCCCCTCCCTGGGTCTCTCTCTCTCCCTGTGCCCTACTCTCTGCCTCCCCCCCTGTGCCCCTGCCTGGCTCCTGGCTTCTGGCTCCTGCTGCTCCTCCTCCTACTTCCTCTAGGCCTTGGTTCCTCGCTTCCTATGGAGTCTCCCCTCTGGGCTCGTGCCTTGCCTCCTCCCTCGGCCTCCCCTGCCCCTTGTATTTACTCTTAGTTTCTCCTCGGCTGCCTTGCCCTGCTGCCTGCCTTGGCTTGCCTGTCTCGGGCCCCCTTGCCCTGCTTCACTGCTCTGTTCCTCTGTCACCACCCCCCCCCCCCCTGTTGTCGGCTGTGTCCTCTGCTAGTCCTGCCCCTTACCCTTTGGTCTGCTCCTCTCTATTCCCTGGGCCCCCTGGGTGCTGCCCCCCCGGTTCCTCTGCCCTGGCCTGTCTTGCCCTGCCTCTCTTCGCTCCTTTTATGGTCTGTCGCTTCCCTCCTCCCTGTTTGGTGCTCTGTCCAGCTGGCCCGGCTCTTCTCCTCCCTTGTGCCTGCCATGTGACTCCTGCTCTCCCCTTGCTCCCTCCTCCCTGTCCTGACACCCCCATTCCCCCCCAGCTCCTACTGCTTCTGGTCTCTTGGCTGTGGCCTGCTTGATGCCTGTCCCTTCTGGGTGCCCCTGCCCGCCCCTCTCTCCTGTCTATCTCCCTGCTCTCCCTGCCCCCCCTCTGCCTGCCTTTCGTGCTGTTCTGTTGCCTTGCCTGGACCTCTGCCTTCTGCCCTGCTTGCCCTCACAGCAGAATTCTGCCCCCCTTATCTTCCCTCCCCTATGTGCTTCTCCCCCTGCCTTCTGTCTTCTATTGCCTTGCAGCCAGACCTGCTCTCTATCTTCCCTGCCCTTGGCTCTGCCTCAGCCTCTTTGCTCCTCTCCCCCCCTTAATTGAGTTGCCCCTGTCTATTCCCTGCTGGCCATCCTGCTTGGCTTAGCTGCTCTTGTGCTCTGCCCCCCCTTGCCCTCTTCCCTCTCCTCGCCTCTGCTGCTGCTGCCTTCTTGGTCTCTGCCCTCTTCTCCCCCCTTGCTGGTGGTCTGCCCCTGCCCCCCCCCTGGCTGGCCTTGCCCCCTGCCCCTTTGTCCCTTTGACTGCCTGTGCCACCCCTTGCTGCTGCCTTCTCTCTGCCCTGGCTCTATCCCTGGGTCTTACTCCCCCCCTGTTGTCTGACGTGCTCCCTCCCTGCCTTCTTTCCCCTTTCCTGACTGGTGGCTTCGGCCTCCTGCCCTGGACCATGCCTGGCCTGTCACTCCTCACTTCCTCTCCCTCTCCCTAGCTGCCCCTCTGTCTCCACTCTTCCCCCCCCTGCTGCTTCCCCTTCTTGCCACCCGTGCCCTGTGGCTTGCCCCCCTGCCCTTAGTCCTGCCTGGCTCTCGCTCCTGGCTGTCCCCTGCCTCCCTGCATGTCTCTGCCCCCTGTGCTTCGTCCCCTCTCTCTTGGCCTCCCCTCCTGTGCTGTGTTTGCTCTCCTCCCCTGCCCTGGTGTCTGCCTCTCTCCCTGCTGACCCTCTGCTCTTTCCTCCCATCCTGTGCCTCCCTTTGCTCTCTGCCTGCTTCCTTTGCCCTGTCTCCTCTGCCCCTGCCTTGGCTGGCTAGGTCTCTGCTGTCCTGTGCACCTCTTCCATATGACCTCCTGCACCCCTCTAGGTCTCTCCCTGTACTCCATCGCTTGTGCTCCCATATGGCTGACTGTCTGACTGCCCCATAGCTCGCCCTCTGCACCTCTGACCCCTCTCCCCTGCTCCTCTTGCTCCCTTCGCGGCTTCCTGCTACCCCTGCTCTCCTCCCCCCTGCTCTTCCCTCTCCCCTCTGGTGCCTGCCCCCCCTGTACCGTGACTCCCTGTGCCCCTCCATGCTCCTCTGGGTTCTCCTCCTCTGTACCCTGCTCCCTCCCACCTCCCCTTTCTGCTCCGCTGCACCTGCTCTCGCGTGTCCTCCCTGCTGATCCTCCATCTCCCCCTGCCCAGTAACCCCTTCTCCTGCTTTAGCCTCCTGCGCGCCCTGCCCTGGTGCTCCCTCGCCTGCTATAGACCTTGCCTCGTCCTCCCCTCCCCCACCCCTCCCCACCCCCCCCCCCCCACCCCCTCCCTCACCAAACCCCCCCCCCCCCCTCCCAACCTTGCCCCCATCCCCGCCCCCACCTCCCCGCTTTTCTGTGCTTCTCCATCTCCTGCGTTTGGCTGGTGCCCCTTTTCCTCCCCTCGCTGTTCTTGCTGGCACTTGTTGCCTGCTAGCCTGGCTGGGTCCATGAACCCTCACTGCTATCCACTGCCCCTATCTACCCCTTGCCTTGTGTTGTCCTCTGTGCCCCCCCCTTCTCCCCCTCCTGCCCTTCTGGCACCCCCTCTGCCTGCCCCTCTCGCTGCCTGCCTCTGTTGCCTGCCTCCCTCCTGCTGCTGTCCCTCCCCTGCCCCTGCTCTGCCTTCCTGCTCTGCCTGGCCTGCCTCTCGACCTGCGTCATCTGCCTGCTGTTTCTACTACATGCCCCTAGCCCCCGCCCTCTGCTCTCTCCGCCTCCTCTCTGCTGTGCTGTGCCACCACATGTCCCCCCATGGGGACATGCAGGTCTGGGAAACACAACCGGAGCGACACCCTCTCTTCCACACGTCAAAAAAACGGACATCAGTGCATCTAATGACTATGATAATCGCTGATCAAGGGGCCTGCGAATGCAAAGGAATAACTGCTGGTGGGCTCCTGTTGCACTGCCTATGCATGAATCGGGTCATGTATAAGTAGACTGCGTGACATGATTACACGGATGTTCTTGTGAATTGCTTACGTAGACTCAGCCTCCGTTGTATTTCTTCCCCCTGCCCTCGTCTGCTCCCCTCCCCACTTTGACCTCCCCCCATCTCTCCTCCCATGCTCCTCACTGGTTTGCTGCCTGTTGGTCCTCGCTGAGGGTCCATTCATGTCATCCCTGCACCTCTTGACCGACCCGGGATACGCGACGTGCCCTCTTCAAACCTTCATGGCTCATCTCACTTTAAAGAGTAGTGCACTGATAGTCTCGTCTGCCCCCCTCCTGCTCGCGGGACCTGCCTACAACTGCCGGCCTCGCTGTGCCTCTCCTTCTCTGCTCACTCGCTACTCAGCTCACTCTCTAAAATATAATCTCAATAACTATACGGCTTTGGTACCCCTGCTGCCCTTGCTACCCCTGGTTCGCCTTCTGTGGCCACCACCCAGCTTGCTGACCCTGACCTACCTGTCATACAATGTCACCCTGCCTTGGCCTCTTGCTTTGCGTATGCCACGTTCCCTCTTGCTCCCTGCTCCCTGTCTGCTCTCTTGATCTCCTATTCTGCTGATTCCTGCCTATGCTCCCCTTCTTCACTTCATAGATGCTGGCTGCCCCTTCCACCTGTCACACAAGTCCTGTTGTTACTACTTGGATTAGTGCTCTCTGCCCTCCCTCTCTGCCTTCTCTTCTCCTCCCCCTGCCTGCTCGCTGTTGCTCCCCTCGCTTGGCTGACCTGCCCCTCCTCCCTCTCCTTGCCTCTCCTCTCTCCCTCCTCTGTTGGCTGCCTGCCCCCTGCCTTTCTCCCCTCTGCTGCCCTGGCTGCTTGCCCCCCCCCCCCTGCCCCCCTCCCTTGCTACCCTCCCTCCCTGCCTTCTCCCTTGCCCCCTGCCTCTGCTGTGATCTGGCTCCTTCCTGGCTGGAGCCTAGCCTCTCCCCTTGCTGGCTGCTCTCTCCCTCCTGCCCTGCTGCCCTGGCTCTTCTTCTCCATGCTGCCTAGTGCTCCCCTGCGGCCCTCTGCCCCTCGCTCCCCCCCTGCCATCCTAGCTCCTGCTCCTGCCCCCCTCCAGATTGCCCCTGCCTGCTCTGGTCTGCCCCTGCCCCCTCCCCCTGCTGGCCCTCTGCTTACTGCCCTCCGTGCTGTCCCAACCTGCCTCCCTGCCTCTGTCCCGCCCAGCCCTGCTGCTCTATGCTGCAGCTCTGACCCCTCCCTGCCTCCCCCTCTTGCTGCCCCAGATCTTCCCTCCCCTGCTGCCCCTCCCCCCCTCCTCCTGAGCCTGCTTCCTGCCCTGCCTCGCCCCTGCTCCCTTGCTTGCTGCTCTGGTGCTTGCCCTGCCTCTTGGTCCTGCTTGCCCTGTTGCTTTTGCCTCCTACTGTTGCTCTAGTTCTCCCTCCCCTCCCCCCTTCTCTGACCCCTGCCCCCTCCTCCCCCTGGCTGCTCCCTCTTTCCCTGCCTGGTCCCCCCTGGCCCCCCCTGACTTGTGCCTGCTGCTGCCTGCGCTGCTCTGCTTGCTTGGCTCCCTCCCTCCTGCTGTCCCTCGCCCTCCCTGTGCCCCCCTTGCGTTGGTGTGGCTGCCTGTGTCCCTGGCAAATGTAGACGCGATGAGGGAATATGGATGCATGAAATCAATACAGGACTGTCACAAAGATCTGCAACTAGAGACGTGTGACAAAACTTACTGATGACAAACGACATCGCAATCCTACCCCCCCTGCTCTGTCCCTCTGCCCTGTGAGACGTCCACCCTCCCTGCTTGTGTTGACCCTCCTGTCCTGCTTTCGCCTGTGCACATGCTTGTACTGCCCCCCAACTTCTGCTGCTGTGCCTTGGTCCCTGGCTCCCTGCCACTCCTCTCCCCTTCGCTCCCCTGCACTGCTAGCCCCCCCATACCCTTGCTGCTATCCCCGACCCCTGCTTGCTAGCTCGGCCTCTCTCCACCCTCCTCCTGCCCCTCCACCTCCGCCTCTTTTGCCTTGCACGTGCCCTGCCTGCGACCTGCCCTGCCCTGCCTTGTGGCTCCCCCCCTCTCCCCTTGCCTCTGCTTCTTAGCTTCGCCCCTCCTCTGCCTCCTCCCTGCTGCCTCTCCCCCCTGTCGCCTCCTGCCTCCCTGCCCCTGACCCCTCGTCTGCCCTGCTCGCCTCTGCCTGCTTGCCCTTGGCTCCTCTCCCCCTGACCCTTCACTTTTACTGCCCTGCAGACCTGCCCCTTCTTTCTCTGTCTGTTCCTGCTCCCTCCTCCTCTTGCCTCCTCGGTCTTGCCTCCTTTGCCCCCATTCCCCTGTGCTCTTCCTTGCCTCTGTCTGCCTCTTCCCTCTGACCCCTGGCCTAGCTGCTCCCCCCTTGCCACCCTCCCTTCCTGCCTGCCCCTTTGATGTCTTGCTGTTTTCTCCCTCTGTTCTCTGCTGCTGCTGCCCTGCTTATGCTGTCCTCCACCTTGCTTTGGCTCACTCTTCTGCTCTCGCCCTGCTCTGTCCTACTACCTCCTTCCCCTGGTCCTCTATGCCCCTGACCTGCCCGTGTCATCAATATGTCGATGTACATCATGCAAGAACTTACTTGCCCTTCTGACCTGTGGTCCCTGGCGCCCCCTCTGCTGCCTGCCTACTCTTCTCGCCTCGTCCCCCCTCCTGCTGCCTCTTCTCTGCCTCCTCGCCTGCCTTCCCCTCACTTGATGCTGCACCCTTCCCCGCCCCCCCTGCTCTCTGGCTGACTTCCTCACCACACCATCCTGGGCCCTCGCCCCCCACACTGCTGGCAACTGCAACCTCCTCCTCGGAACAACACACATGATACCTACTGTCCTGCGCTCTTGCCCCCTGCTGCATCCCAATGGATGGTCCACACTGATTGCTCCTGCCTGATGCTACTGCCCCTCTCGCCCAGTCTCCCGCCTGAGTCCTGGACATCCTTCAACGTGCCTTGCACATTTGCTGGTTCCAGACCACATGATCAGCCTGCTCCTGTGCTCTACCTGCACTGGCTGTCTGGCCTTTTTCCCCCTGTCGCCTGCCTCTCCTGCCTTCGGCGTCCTTTGTCCCTGATGCCCCCCTGACCTGCCGCTGGGGTACTCTACGCTTCTGCTGCTGCTCTACTCCTCCCCTTCCCTGCCCCTGACGCTGGTTGTTCTCCTCACTTTCCTCGGATTGTTCCCCCTCCCCTCCCTCAGGCACACTCCTTGTCTGGAGGCTTCTTCTGGCCTGTCCCCCCTTCCTTTGCCTTGCCTGCTGTCTATCTTTGCGCCCTGCCCTCCCCTCGATCCTTCCCCTTCCTGCTGTACTTGGTGTTTCTGCTTTTCCTGACCCCCCCTTTTGCGGCTCGCTCCCTGCGGCTCTCCCTCCCCTGCTGACTGACCTTGACCCCCCTGCCTCCTCCTTGTCCTGCCTGTCCCCTGGTACCTCTTTCCCCCTGCTCTCTGGCCTCGCCTGCCTGTGCTCCTGCCTCTCGTCCCTCCTGCGCCCTTACCCCTCTTCATGCTGGGCTCCTCCTTGCCCTGGCTCCCTCCCACCCATGCTCAATTGCTGCTCTGCTGTGTCCCTGCTCTCTTCTGCTCCCTCCTGCTTTCTGATTCCTGCTCTCTACGTCCCTGTTGGCTTCTCGGTCCCTCCGCTGCCTGCTGCCTGTGCTGCTGATACCCTCTTGCCCCTAATGCTGCTCTGCCTTCTGTGTCCTCTATGTGCTGTCTGCTGAAAACTGCTTGTGTTGACTTCACCTCCCTTGCTGCTGCACTGTGGGCCAACCAATTGCTATCCATCTACCTGATTCATCCCTCTATCTTGTGGAGCCCTGCCCTCCCTAGGCTCTGCCGGACCCTTCTGACCCGTCCCGTTCTCGCTTCCCGCTCCCCTATTGGTGCTCTGTGCCCTGGTCCCCTGATCGCCGTCTGCCCCCTCCTCGCTTGCCCCCTCTTCTGCCTCGCCCTCTCTCGGCCTTGCTGTCTTCTCTGTTTGCCTGCCCTCTCCCTCCCCTCTGCCCCTGCTGCTTTTCCCTGCCTGCTCCCCTCCCCCCCCTCACCCCCCTGCCGCCTCCTTCCTCTTCCTGGTGCTCGCATTTCTCCTCTGCCCTCTTCCTGCTCGCCTCCTTTGTGCTTGGCCTCGTGGTCTCCCTCTGCCTCCTGCTCGCTCTCCCCCCTGCCATGCTGCGCCTGCTCACCTGATGTCTTCCTCCTGCCTACCTCTGCACACTGTATGCGGCTCCTCCCACATCGGTGACTCGCTCAGAATCATTCCCGCCCACACCAACTGGATCAGTGCAAACCCTACCTGCTCTGCATGCATATGATGATAACTTGAGGGATCGAACAGGACGATCGATGAAGTGGGGAGAAAGAAATGGCGGAGGAGGAATGCATAGGAAACGGAGCGATATGGTGTACTGGACAAACAAAAGGAAGAATGAAAGAGGCGACGGATAATGAATACTGGGGCAAAACAAAGAAAAGTATGTACGGACGCAGGAAGAAAGGCAACGAAAAAGAGAAGGTCGGAAAAAAGTAGAGGCAAGATTATGATCCCATGTCACCAGCGAAAAATAGGGGGACCATAGATGATGATAAACCGTGACTACCATGACTCGACGTTAACCTTCTGGGGCTTGGGGTTCTGCTGCCTGCATCCCCGTCTGCCTACCTGACCACCCCCTAAAACCCCATAGCTACTTCCTTGCTACCCCCTGCCTGTTTCTTTGCCTGCCGCCTATACTGCTCATCTTGCCTGCCTTCCCCCTCTGGCTGCTCCCTGCTGCCCCCATCTGCTGCCCCTGCCCCCTTACGCTCTCTGGTGCTGCTCCCCCCCTCCCCCCCTGCCCCTGCTCTCCTCTGCCTGGCTGCATGGCTTGCCCCCTCTCCTCTCCCTTGCTCTGCCTGCCCCTCCTGCCTGTGCCTGCTCCTCTGCCTGCTTTGCCCCCCCCTGCTTCTGCTGCCACTCACTCCCTCCTCCTGCTGCTCTTGCCGTCTCCCTACCTCTGCCCTCCTAGTCTTGTCTCCTCTCCCTGCTGCCCTGTTGCTGCCCCCTGCCTGTGCTCCTCGCTCCCCCCTGGCCTCCTGTCCCCGCTCCTGGGCCACTTCGTTACTGGCCTCCTTCTATCAACTGGGTTACCCCCATGTGCACCCTCGTCACTGCCTCACCTGTCCCATTGCTGCCCCATTGCGTAATCCCCACCTACCCCTCTGCTCATCGTCTATTGTCTCCCTGCCCTTGCTCGCTCTGCTTGCTGTGGCTAAGCAATCTAATGCACTCGTGCTCACCCTGCGCCGTGAACATGGCCCTTGTCGCCTCCCTCCACTCCTTTCCCTTCACTAGCCTCTCTCCCTCCCTCCCTCGGATTTGATGCGTGGGATTCTAGAACCTGCGCCAACTGCCGTACCCCATCACTATATACCCTAACTGCCTGCGCTGCTGGCCCCCCCTCTGGCTTGCAGGACTACGTTGGACTGAAATGCGAACTATTAAATCCTAACTGTGCGAGGCAACAGGACAACATGCAGAGAAGGGGATCGTCGAGGATCTGGAAGAGCAAAATAAAAAGAGCAAAAGGGTTGAATAGGTGACGGGCAACATGGACTCTTGACGTGCAAAAAATGAAGGCCTATGCCCCCCAAGAATAGGAAGGCGGAAGCCGCCTGCCAAGGGGAGAGGAAGAAGGACAATAAGGGGACCATAGAAAAAGAACAGGAAAAGAAGGGAAGCGAACAACAAACCGGCACACATGCGCAGTTTGCCCTGGCTGCTCTGAGCACCCCCCAATGAACTGATTCACAAATGTCAAGCTCATGGAATGTCAACACAATCGACTGGGAATAACGCCCTGCACCTATCATGCTTGTCCCATATCCACCTGCCCCCCCCCCCCTGGTAAGGTGCTGTCCCACCTATACAAGCTATTCACTGCCTCCCCCCCCTCTCCTATTTCTGGTCGCTGCCTTCTGCCCTTGACCCTGCCTCTGGCTTCCCTTCTTGCTCTGCTGCCCCCCCCTGCTCCTCCCTGCTGCCCCTTTTCCTGCTTGCTTTGCTGTTGCTGTCCTGGTCGCCCTCCCCCTGTATGTGGCCTTGCCCTCGTCGCCCTATTGCTACCCCCTCTCAGCGCCTGCTGGTCTCTCTCTCTTCACTCTGGTACTTTCTCTCTCTCTCTCTGGTCTCTCTCTATCTCTCTGGGTTCTATCTCTCCCACCCCCTCCTACTGGTTGCCCTGGGGAAAACCCATTGGGTCCTCTGATCATCTACCATGATGGTATGGTATGCCACCGGTCTATGGATGGCCGGCACCAATCTGATCAAATGTACACAACCCTCTCCAAACCAACTGGCAATGGAAACTCACAATACTCCTGTACCTGTCATTCGCTCCCCTCCTGTGTCCTGCTCTACCGCCCCCCCCCCCTCCTGGTCCCCTGACCCTCCCTCCCATCCTCTGCTCTGGCCTGCCCCTACTGGCCCTTCCCCCCCTCGCCCTGCCATCTCTCACCTCCCCTTGCCTCCCCCCCGCCCCGTGCTTCCATTAGCTCATGCTGTTGTCTTCGCTGCACCCCCCATTGCCCCCCTGCTGGCTCCCCCCCCCCCTGTCTGTTGTCTTCCTGCCCCACTGTGTGCTGTGCTGGGCCCTTACTGTGCTGCGCCCTCCTGCCTGTAATCCTGCTGACCTCTCCTGAGGTTGGCCCTGATATGGATGCCGTGCGCGCTGACCGGAGTCTGCCAATAGCGCGATACGGAATTGCACGCTGGACGTCTGTGTGGCCCTCAGAACAAAACTACCAACTAATGTTCCCGTGGGCTCCCTCAACGTGCCCTCCATGACCTGGGATACGCCACCCTGCCTCCCTCTCCCTATTTCTCCTTCGCCCTCAACTGCCCCTTCTTTGTTCCCTTCCCCTCTGGCCCCTTCGCCTGACTCTTTGTCCCCCCCCTGGTCTGCCTGCCCCCATTCTGCTAGGTGCGTCTTGCTCTCTTGTCTTGCCCTGCTGTCTGCTCCCCTGCTCTATCTGCTAGCCCAGTCCCTTCCCAGCTTTCCTGCTGTCCCCTCTGCCTAATGCCCTTTGCCCCCTCCCTCTGGCCTATCTGGTCCTGTTTACTTCCTGCTGTGCCCTTCCTAATTCTGCCACCCCCCCTTGGCCCTCTCTGCCTCCCCTCTCCACCCCCTTCTCTCCCCTTGCCCTTGCCCTCCTCTCCTAGCCTAGCCTGACTTGTTCCTTGCCTGCTGCGCCTGCTCTCCTCCTGCCTGCCCCTCCCCTGCTGCCTGCCTTGCCTCTGCTTCTTCTCTCCTCCCCTGTCTCTGATGTCTCTTGCTCCTTGTCAAAGCCATACCTTCCTTCTACTTGGCCCTGCCCCTGCCCCCTGCTGCTGTCCGCCCTGTGGCCCCTGTCCCTCCCTGCCCCCGTGGTCCCTCCTTGGCTGTTTGGCACCCTGGCCTTTGTCCTCCCCCTCTGCTCCTGTCTGCTCCCTGGGCCCTTCCCGGTCTCGGTCTTCTCTCTCTCTCTCTTGGTCTTTCTCTCTCTCTCTTGGGTTCCTCTCTCTCTCTCTGGTCTCTCTCTCTCTCTCTGGTCTCTCTCTATCTCTCTCTCTTCTGGTCCTCTCTCTCTCTCTCTCTCTGGTCTCTCTCTCTCTTGTCTCTCTCTCACTCTCTCTCTGGTCTCTCTCTCATCTCTCTCTCGGGTCTTCTCTCTCTCTTCTCTTGCGGTCTCTCTCTCTCTCTCTGGTCTTTCTCTCTCTCTCTGGTCTCTCTCTCTCTCTCTCTGGTCTCTCTCTTCTCTCTCTCTCTGGTCTCTCTCTCTCTCTCTCTCTCTCTCTCTCTCTCCTGGTCTCCTCTCTCTCTCTCTGGTCTCTCTCTCTCTCTGGTCTCTCTCTCTCTCTCTCTGGTCTCTCTCTCTCTCTCTGGTCTCTCTCTCCTCTCTCTGGTCTTTCTCTCTCTCTCTGGTCTCATCTCTCTCTCTCTCTCTGGTCTTTCTCTCTCTCTCTTCTCTGGTCTTCTCTCTCTCTGGTCTCTCTCTCTCTCTCTCTGGTCTCTCTCTCTCTCTTCTCTCTGGTCTCTCTCTCTCTCTGGGTCCTCTCTCTCTCTGGTCTCTCTCTCTCTCTCTGGTCTCTCTCTCTCTGGTCTTTCTCTTCTCTCTGGTCTCTCTCTCTCTCTGGTCTCTCTCTCTCTCTCTCTGGTCTCTCGTCTCTCTCTCCTGGGTCTCTCTCTCTCTCTCTGATCATCTTCATCAAATCAGAAATGTTCATAATAATACCATCCATTTCATACAGTGCTTTCACATCAGCTATTCTTAACAAAAGGCTACTACTGTATAGCCACAGCTGCCCCCCCGGGGCAATCTGACAGAGGCGAGGCCACCAGTCTGTGCCATCGGTGTCTTGCCTAAGGACACAACCATTTTTTCAGAATTCCATGTATAATTAATGGAATGGTCTCGGGCACCAATAAAGCATAAATTAATATTCATTTCAGCTTAAAATAATAATAATAATAAAGAAGCAGGTTTAACATCTCTAACTTAAGCATAATAAAAACAACATTAGTAATTTTACTGAAATGTTCTGGTTTCTGTTTTGTAAATAATCTGCGTCGTTTTTGAATCAATAAAAACAAAATAAAAACGTAACCGTGAAAGAAGAAGAAGGAAAAGCGGGAGGATTGTGTCGATAAAAAAGTGTATTTCATGAACCTTCTTTCTTCATCACAGTTTGATCTTTTGGTTCTCGGCTCCTGCACCGCACGCTTTTACTTTATCACTTTAAGATGACGAGATATGAGACTTGTTTTTTCAGAATGAACACTAAAAACCCAACAATGCACCACACAACAACCCACTGACTGGAACAACACTGTAAAAATGGAATCCAGTGTTTTTAATCATTAATCCGACACATTTCTGACTTAAAACTGTTTTCTCATTCTGTATCTTTTTAAAACAACATCATCAGAGAATCTGGATTAAGGCTGAGATGTGATTAAGAATTCTTTTCCGTCACTTTTTAGCAGTGTAGCAGTAATAAATCATTCCTTTGTGTCAACACAATGCAAATATCCTCACAACACAACGGTGTGGAGTCATTGCAAGTGACCACAACACACACACTTACACACACAGACACACACATAGGACACACACCAACGTACAAGACATCAGTGGCAAAGTTGGAAGCTGCGCAACCAAGTTTGTTGAAAATAAACACACAAAAAATATAATAAGAAAAACGATCAATTAATTGCACGCACACACACAGATACACACACACAACAGATACACACAGACACACACACACACACAGACATACACACACAGACACACACACACAGACACTCACACAGACACACAGACACACACAGACACAGACACACACAAACACACAGACACACACACACAGACACAGACACACACCACAGATACACCAGACACACACACATGTAAATCCAGCAGGAAACAGCGCACACACAAAGGAGCGACTGTTGGACAGAGGTCGAAATAAACAAATTGGATTCAACAAGTTTGAAGAGAATGTTTCAGGAGATTAATGCAAGTGCAGCCAACAGAGAGCTACAGAGAGCTACAGAGAGCTACAGAGAACCTACAGAGAACTACAGAGAGCTACAGAGAGCTACAGGAGCTACAGAGAACTACAGAGAGCTACAAAGGAACTACAGATGAGCTACAGAGAGCTATAGAGAGCTACAGGAGCTACAGAGAACTACAGAGAGCTACAGGGAGCTACAGAGAACTACAGAGAGCTAACGAGAGCTACAGGAGCTACAAGAGCTACAGAGAGCTACAGGAGCTACAGAGAACTACAGAGAGCTACAGGAGCATACAGAGAGCTAAAGAGAGCTACAGAGAGATAAAAGAGAGCTACAGGAGCTACAAGAGCTACAGAGAGCTATAGAGAGCTACAGAGGAGCTACTGTCGCGAACACAGAAGCATCTAGAGATTTAAATATTTTATTGTATTGGTTTTATTTTAACTGGAATCTATTGATTGTGAAAAGCTATCCAACACCAACCCACAGAACCAACTAACAAGCTCTAAAACTGAACCCACCTACCCCCCTACTCAAAGACATCAGTATTAAGTTAGAAAATTATAAAAAGTATATATAGAAAAACAAATATGTCGGAGTATGAATAATAATAGAATATTAAAAATTCAAGAGATGTTAGGGGTATAGGGTAGTATATATAATAAGGTAAATATATTAATAAGTTTAATATTCTGTTGATTAATTGGGGGTGGTTATTTTAGTTGTATGTTTTTTTATATGGTTGAGTATAAGAAGAAAGTTGCTATTGTTTATTTGTAGTTTGAATTTATTAAGAGTGTGAGTGATGTATTGTGAATTGTTGTATGAAAAGATTAACTCCAGAGATAGATAGAATAGAGATTAGAGTATGATGTTGTTTTATTTGAACACACAATTTAATATTCCAGTGTGAGTGAGCCGTAAATTTGGGATTATTTTGGATAAGGGATGATATGTGTTAAGATTTATAATGAATATTTGAGAGAGATTATTATTATTATTTGTTTTTTTGAAATAGGATAAGGGATTTGATTGGAGAAAATGTAATGGTAGGTAATGTAAAGATAGATGAAGTTTGAAAGGGATTTATTTATTACTACAAATCGTCTTGAAAATTATAAATTACAAATATAAGAGCAAAGAAGAAAGATCAATTAGACACAGTGCATTTTCGAATAATTTTATTTTAAATGTTAAGATAATGGTTGGATTTTTTATTTGTATGTGGTTATTTTATGAGTAAGTGGTTGGGTATGGATATGTTTTGTATAGGTTGTTTTAATTGTATTTTTGGTGTTTGAAGTTAAGAATTTAAAGAGGTAAGAGTGTAAGAGAAGAGGAGTGTATGGAGAATAGAAGGTAGAAGGTAGAGAGGAGTAGTAGATCGTAGAAGTTATAGAGGTGGAAGGTAAAGTAGAGAGGTAGAGGTAGAAGGTAGATAGGTAGCTCTCTGTAGCTTGATAGGAAGAAGGTAGGAAGTGTATAGAGGTAGATAGTGAGGGGAGAGAGATTATTCTCTGTTTCGTAGGCTGCACTTGCATTAATCTCCTGAAAACATTCTCTTCAAACTTGTTGAATCCAATTTGTTTATTTCGACCTCTGTCCAACATCGCTCCTTTGTGTGGTGCGCTGTTTCCTGCTGGATTTACATGTGTGTGTGTCTGTGTGTATCTGTGTGTGTGTCTGTGTCTGTGTGTGTGTGTCTGTGTGTTTTGTGTGTGTCTGTGTCTGTGTGTGTCTGTGTGTCTGTGTGAGTGTCCTGTGTGTGTGTGTCTGTGTGTGTATGTCTGTGTGTGTGTGTGTGTCTGTGTGTATCTGTGTGTGTGTGTATCTGTGTGTGTGCGTGCAATTAATTGATCGTTTTTCTTATTATATTTTTGTGTGTTTATTTTTCAACAAACTTGGTTGCGCAGCTTCCAACTTTGCCACTGATGTCTTGTACATGTGTGTGTCCTATGTGTGTGTCTGTGTGTGTAAGTGTGTGTGTTGTGGTCACTTGCAAATGACTCCACACCGTTGTGTTGTGAGGATATTTGCATTGTGTTGACACAAAGGAATGATTTATTACTGCTACACTGCAAAAAGTGACGGAAAAGAATTCTTAATCACACTCAGCCTTAATCCAGATTCTCTGATGATGTTGTTTTTAAAAAGATACAGAATGAGAAAACAGTTTTAAGTCAGAATGTGTCGGATTAAGATAAAAACACTGGATTCCATTTTTACAGTGTTGTTCCAGTCAGTGGTTGTTGTGTGGTGCATTGTTGGGTTTTTAGTGTTCATTC